CATCTACAGTAATCTCCATTCATTCAAGTTCTGCCGCAGCCTTTGTCTTTCAAGGTCAAGTGAGGATAACGCTATATCATAGCATCCAATGGACAAGGTGCGGGTTTCCACTTTTGACCGTCTCCACCTTTCCAAGGGCATAGTTTCTTCATGGCTGCAAATATCCCAAAGTCCTCCATGGCTACTGTAACACACTGCCCAGAATCCACTTGGTCCAAACACGGGCATCGCTCATTAAGGCTGACTGTAAACAACGCTGGATAATGTCAGCGTAACAACCGAGAACTGAAGTTTTTGCAGATATATTGCATCGCTTCTTTTTAAGTCTCCTTTGTTTACTTTTGTTCTTCCTCATTCAATGAAACAGTAATAAATGCAACACACTGACCCTCTGTTCTTGTTTTTGTTTTTGTTGCACGCAGGCACGCATCTCAAATAAGCTCCCCAAGATGGAGGCTGTCGTTAAGTTTAGGGGTCATCGCAACAGGCGGTTACTGGATTCGGAGCGCATCCCAGAGTGCACAATAGCCGATAACTACTGTACTCGGCTTCAGTGCCACCGCTAAATATTCACAGCCATTACCAAACTACAGCAAAAGGATTGGATATGCAGTGTGCGTTATTAATGCTCAGAGTCTATTTTGTCTGCAGACATTAAATTTTGTCACAGACACCTTGCCGAACATTTTTAATCTTCTGTGAAATGGAAACAAAAGTTTGCCTGCCTGAAGTCTCTGCTTTATAGACTGAGATATGCAGTTCAGCGCAGCGGCTGCAGAATTGCTCCCAATTTAACGTTCAGGAGAAAATCAAATAATGTCCGGGGTTGTGATTGGCAGGAGGTTAAACAGGCTCTTATCTGCAGACGCAGGGTATATAATCACACAGTGACGCTCGCGCCGCCCCGCCCCGCCTGAGAGCATGCTCTGTCTGCAGAGGCCTTCTGCAAGGGTAGCTATCAGGCTATTAATCACAGTGCTGTAGCTGCCACCTGGCTGTTAATGCATGTGTTCACTAACGGCTTCCATCAACAGCAGAGCTGGATCAGTTCAAGGTTCACTCGCATTGCTTAACCCAGCTTTCAACCCCCTTCTATCTCTCTATTCTTTTCACCTGGCTATTATTAAAGAGAACATGCACACTTTATCTTATTTGTGGGCAAAATGTCAGGGGCAACATTTGCATACGCAGGCCATTCTGTTGTTTAACAGTAATTGGGGTTTTGAGTCAATGATTTTCTATAAAGCTCACGACTATTTGCATCACCAGTGCAGTGTGATCTGTAGTTATTACAGTACATTAACCTTCCTGCCATTTAAATTATGCAGCTCTTGCTACCAGTGGTCAATCTCAGTGTTTCATATCTTCATTGGAAACGAACAACCCCAAACCTCTACACCCCTACCTCTCAGTCAGGTTCAAAAGGCGTTTGGTATAATATTGATTCATTACAGTAATCCACTGGTTTTGTGATTTTTACTTTAAACCAGTGTCAGGTTTAAGCCTTTTTCAATCACAACAGCAATGGTGGAAAGTTTTGAAAAGCCTTGCCACCCAACTTCCAGGTCAAAAGCCTGCTGGAATATTGGACACACTCAATGACTCTGATTACCTTGTTTCTTAAAGGTCATTGCCAAGATGTTTTGCTGATGACTGATTCCACCAACCTGTAATTTTAGAACAGCAGCAATGACATGGGTACACCTTGCTAGTACTGGCTGGAATCTCTTTGTTCTTCAGAACTGCCTTAATTGCTCAAGGCATAGATTCAACAGGGTGCTTGAACACTTCTCAAATATTTGGTCCATACTGACATGATAGCATCATACACGCAGATTTGTCAGCTGCACATCTAAGTTGGACTGAGATCTGGTGACTTTGGAGCAGAAGGATACACTTTGGTCATAAAGGGGTGGCAATAGTAAATGGAATGCCTGTTATGTAGTGCTTTTGTATTCTACCTGAGCACTCAATGCGCTTTACACAACAGGCATCATTCATCCTTTCACACAAATCAATATAAGCATTTTTTCATATGCTTAAGTGCTTTCTGTCTAACATCCACATAACGATGGATGCATCGGAGATCAACTTTGGGGTTTGTAACTTGGGCAAATAGCAAGATACTATACAAAAAGCCAGGAACACTGATCAGCAACAGTATTTGGTAATACTGTAGTGCTTGAACAATGCTCAGCTGGTACCCAAATTGTGCACAGAAAATATATCCCACAGCATTACACCACCACCGCAACCAGTTCATCTAAGGCATGATGGATAAAAGCTTTCATGTTATACATGATGAATTCTAACCCTACCACCTGAATGTCACGCAAGTCTTGACTCACCAGACCAGGTAAATGTATGTGACATTGCTATGGATTTTTTCTGGCACAAATAATCAATAAAGGCAATTTCTCTCGCTCTCTCTCCACGCACACACACACACACACACA